AATGGACAAGCATCCACATGGCAACTGTGAACCTTGTAGGCAGCAAGAGATTAAGGAATTAATTGGCAGGGTTAATCTTTATGTCAGGGTTGGAAATGAATTGTTAATTTGTTTGGATGAGTGTAAAGTCCTCTCCCAGTGATGGCAGGTGGGATCACATGAGAAAAAGCCTGCGAAGCTGCCCTTCCTGTGGACCTTTCTATTTAACACCTCCTGCAAACAGAACTCTCAAATTCTTTGCCCCCGATGTACGAGAATCCTGCATGGGGTCGGAGGAGCAGGTTGTGCTGCTTGCGCGTAAGCTCATGTCCTTGCAGATGACAGCACAGCTGCTCTGGGCCACGAGATGGGAGAGGGACTGGCTGCAGCTTGTGAGGGCTCCTTCGTGTTACAGCTTTTCTTTCTGATCTTGCTCCCTTGTGTTAAGCAGATCTGATTGATTGCTGCATTGCAGATACAGGATCAGGTCAACCTGCTCTAGGATCTCAGCGTGAGGGAGAGATGTGCTGACACCGAAATGCTGCTGTTGGGGCAAGTGGTACCAGCCTTGCACGCAGCATGCAAAACTTGATAGGTCTGTATGGACACTAAACCCTGTCAGACACTTCTCTCCTCCTCCAGGACACCGTAGCATGAGAATCTGTCGGATCAGTTAATGCTTTTCCTTTTCTGCTATCATTTTACACTCAGGACAGCAGAGTATTTTTCATTTTAGTATCCTTCTAATCTGTTAAGGCTAATGCATTGGTCACATCACATTAAGACACAGGAGAAAAGCACTTCAGGGCTTAAATTATTTGAATGAAAATTAACTTTTTGTCACTTGTGCTGTCTTTTGTGCATTGATTAATCTAATTAGTTCAGCAATAAGAATCACTTTCTCCTCATGCTGTGGTCTGATATGTTGTGACTGACACAGCCTGATTCTAGACATGACATCACATAGGACTGGCCTATACAGAAACCTGGGATCTTTCTGGGTATGCAACAATCTTGTTTAAGACCTTGCAGTCAAAGTATTACCCTGTTGCCCATGCTTCAATTCCCACCATCAGCCCTTACACCGACTCTTTCATTTTCCCTGAAGCAGGGCTGACGAAAGTGTGTGTTCGTGTTGGCCAAAACCAAGGTACTGCTGTTCACAATACACCGGCACTGCCAGGTCTGACCTGAAGATGTGTACGACAGAAGGTCAGGTCGCAATTACAGTCTGATCTGCTGAAGTTAATTTGTAAGAAGTTGCTATTATACAAGATATGCTGCTCATTTTTGGAAAAGCCTTTGCATGTGGATATAAATATCATACAACTGGGTACTGAAACACAGGTACAATCAATCACCTTCTGTTGGTGTCTGTGACTGTCATTGGCAAGCCACCTCTCTCTGTGCTCAATGCCTAATTTATGGGAAGGCTGATGCTGTTCCAAGGCGCTGTAAAATAATGAGAGTTTTTCATAGCCAAAAATATTTGGCTGTGTTTAGCCTACATATCTGCATCCTGTCTGCACACATTGTGTGTCACGATGTCTGATACCAAGTCCTGCTAGTAAAAGGAGTTGGGGGCGAGTGGTTGGTTTTGGTGTTCAGGTTAAAACACCTCCAAGAGGAGTGCTCGCTGCCATGTGTGTGTCCTCTGCTCGACACCAACCCCTTCTGCTTTCCATACCTTCCCCATTTCCCCACTCATCCAGCTTCCAGCCCACAACCACCACACCAAGGCTGCCTACCATTTTTACCTCTATTCTCCTTCTGTTTAATAAGACCAGAAATGTCTTTATGCTGCTCTCCCCATCTGTGTGAGCCTACAGAGACTTCCATCTGAGTCTTATGCTACAAGCAAAGACTCAAGGAGCAGTTTTGCTGGAGAGGGAAGGGAAGGGAAGGGCAAGGGTGTCCAGAGAGGTCTGGGACACTGAGTAGAGCTAGAAGCAAAGCAGAAGGGCTGGTCTGATGTTTGGGTGATGCTTTTTGTTAGGCTGTCACAGTTACTGAGTGCTAAGTGAAAATATGCCAGATGTGCTACTTGCTTAGGTATCCTTAATCTGACCACAGTCACTTGTTATTTGAGACCACAGATAATAATCTCTGCCATCAATTGACACAGCAAATATCTTGTGCATTTGTACAAAAATGTTTTGGGCTGCTCTGCATTCTTCAGATTATTTGAGGCAATCTATTTGTAGGTGTCTGTCAAGCACCAGCACTTGCTCCTACTTTCACTCGCATTTCATGTTCTCCTCACCCTACGGGCAGCCAGATGGTTGAATGTAAGCCAAAACTAAGAAGGATTTCCTCTTTTCTTTTGAAGGGATGGGTGTTCAGAGATTTATCAGTAATACAGTTGTACTTAATCAGATAAGAGTCTGTCCTGTGTAACTAAGAAGGCCCACAGCATGTTGCTGGCATAAGCAGCTACTCTGGTGAAGTCCCACTTGAGTTGCCATTTTGCATTCCACATAAAACTGTGCTTTATGTTTTTCTGACTTACTAGTTGTCCTAAAATGCCAATAATGTGGTGATGTTCTAGTACAGCTTTTGTGTACTATCATTTCATATTAATTGTTTAGAAATTATGACCACTACATAATTTGGAATAAGACTGTCACCCTGTCTATGCCTTATATAAAATTTTAATATTAAAAGTGACTGGGTTCCTCATAGACCCAATTAGCTCTTTAGAGAATCTTTGTGCAGCAGCCTGTACTATCACTATTGATGTTAACATATTATATAATCAGCTTTAGAAAATGCAGCAGTCTGAAAGCTGGCTTCTGTGTCCCTGTTCAATACCCTAAGGAGAGTACTGAAAATCAGCGGAATTTTACTAAAAGGTAGGCATTTTTGGGGGTTTTGGGGGGAGTAGTAGAGCAATCGATTATCTTCAAATCAACTTTGTCTGAAAACTGTGGTCTCCAAACACTTCTTTATTGATATATAGTAGAGATTTTACAAAATGGCTTAGATGTTCTCTTTTGCTGCTCAAATTGGGTGGTGAAGTAACAGAACATGCTATTTTGGTAGTTTGGAACATGCTCCAGGAGTTGATTAAATGATGTCTTTTACTCTGTATGTGAACTGTGCGTTTCCATGCAAGCATCAGAATTATCAGAGCTGCAAACACAAGCCTGCACTATCTATCATCTGCTCTATCCCTGTATGACAGAGCACATTGTTTACTACCCGTTTAAACACTAAACAAATTTGAATAGATAATTACATTTGTCAACAGAAATAGTCCCCTATAAAACTTAACAGTGGATGAAGTGGAATTGCTACTGTGAACTTAGTGATAGGATATTTTAGGATCATTAGTAAGACACCTTTTAGAAATCTAAGCCCAGAACTTGAGGTTTTGCCCTTTCCTTTCTGCGAGTCATGACCCCTTCTGCACGCTCCAGTGCTTGAACACATGATCCTGAACAGCAGCTTCGCCTGGATTTTCCAAGGAGAGGTTTGCTGTCTTCCCTCGAAGTGGAAACAGGAAGAAGAAATCAACTGTTCTGTCGTTCCTCAAATCTTTGGGAGGCAGGACCCTGTCAGAGACTTCATCTCATTTACGGCTTAGGTGAGCTATGTGGTAGATAAAATTTGTCATCTCTTTCCCCATGGTAAGAGGTACTCTGTTTTACTCATTCTGTGCTATGGTTATAAGGTTGTTCCGATGTATTTAGATCAATGAACTACACAGTAAAGATAATCTTGTCTAAAGGAAACACAGTAAAATATCCTGTAAGATTAATACCCGAGATGAGAAGCCAATTAGAGCACACATCCTGCCACTTCAATCATTATGGGCAAGATACCTGCAATTAAGTCCTCTATATTACATAATAACTATAGGTGGGAGCAGGCCATGTTTAATAAATTTGTTCTAATTCTTGGTTATGGTTAGTTGAGGGAACTAAAGCAGTGACAGATGAAGACAAAGTTCCCAGATCAGAAAAGAATTAGGCAATCTGCATGTGTTCAAAGTTGACAGAATACGGCTATTTCTTGGCATTGCAGCCATTTGTCTTAAGAGACACCAAAACACAGATGAACAGCATGTGCTGGTTTTGGCTGGGATAGAGTTAATTTTCTGTCTAGTAGCTGGTATAGTGTCATGTTCTGGGTTCAGTATGAGAAGAATCTTGGTAACACACTGATGTTTTCAGTTGTTGCTAAGTAGTGTTTGTACTAAGTCAAGGATTTTTCAGCTTCTCATGCCCAGCCAGCAAGAAGGCTGGAGGGGCACAAGAAGTTGGGAGGGGACACAGCCAGGACAGCTGACTCAAACTGGCCAAAGAGATATTCCATACCATGGGACATCATGTCTAGTATATAAATGCGGGGAGTTGGCTGGGGGGACTCACTGCTTGGGAACAGACTGGGCATCTGTTGGTGAGCAACTGCATTGTGCATCACTTGTTTTGGATATTCCAATTCTTTTAATATTATTGTCATCTTATTATTGTTATAATCATTATTAGTTTCTTCCTTTCTGTTCTACTGAACTGTTCTTATCTCAATCCAAGAATTATACTTTTTTTTTTCTTCCCAATTCTCTCCCACATCCCACTGGGTGGGAGGAAGTGAGTGAGCAGCTGCGTGGTGCTTAGTTACCAGCTGGGGTTAAACCACAACACAGTACTACGTAGGTTTGACACTTTTATTAACAAAGAACCCATGGGGCTCATTCATTAGTACAAAATACAATCATGTTTCTGTATGTTAAACAGCATTTTTTTTTATTTCATCTCTTTTAAACTGTTTCACAGTTATCAAAACAAAGCCCCTGCATATTGAACTTATTATTGTGCAAACAGTCATCATTTTAAGGATCAATTTCTGCACTATGCCAAGTGTCAGAGAGCAGAATTTAATCTTGTTTTCACCCTTCCTCTGAAGGGCCATGGGTGCTTCCTAAGAAACACATTCTAGTTGTCTTTTTTTGCAGCAAACAATCTAAGGCCACAGTTTATCTGCAAATAATAAAACAACTCAAAGATTTTTTTTGGGGGGGGGGGAAGCACATCTTTACCCTTCATGCTCGTTTGCTTGACCATGTTTACACCAGGTAGCACACATCACCTATTAGGTATTACAGTCCAAAAAAGCACCTAATGTTCTTTAAGCTAATATTCTGCATTATTAACATGCAAGTTAATACACAGCCACATTACTTTTCAAGTAACTATAATGGTATCTGTTTTGAGGAAAATACGCTTGTTCCCTTTCCAGGTGACATGAATGAAAATCCTGCATTGATTGTATGGGCACACCCTCACTTAAATAAAAAGGCATGAGAGCTACATCTTGAGACTCAAGATAAATACTAATTTTTAGAATGTCCTTTCTAAAACATGCACTCAAATTTTGGTTAAAGCTGCATTTGCTATAGAAGACAATACTTAAAGTTGCAAATGAAAAAAATAACTGCAGTTTGGAAACATGAATCTCAACCAGTATGTCTCTTACACTGATGTAAAAGTGACTTGAGGTGAAGTGCTAGAAATCAGACAATGTAAGGAAGTCATACTAAAAGAAGACTAAAAATATATATCCGCATATGCCTGTAGAAAAATCCCTGCTTCTTAAATGAAGACAGATTTCATAAAAAACCATTTAAACTTTTTTAAACTGCAGTTATTGATGAAATGATGGAAACTCAATTACTATTCTTAGAGTTATCAGAAAGTACAATGTTTTACCACATGAAGCACCGGGTTTTAAACCCAAACCCTTCTGTAAGACATATGGAGTAGTTCTAGTAGTTCAAAATCCCCTGTAGTTTAAAGACTCGACTGTAAACATGCGTTTTAAGAATGCTGTGTTTCTGTTCCTTTAAGTGATATTGATGGTGGCTTACTTATTCCAATTGATGCTTGTCAGGAAGCAAACATTCTACTTTAAATGAAGGCAGCAGAAGGGCCAAGTAAAATGCTGTGCCTTCACTCTTAGCAGCAACAAACTCCCACTGTTCTAAATGACCTGAGGAAGAAAACATTAAAATATTGCACCAAAACAAAATTAAACAGCAAAAACAAACAAGGAAACACACGAACAAAAAATAGTATGGATAGCAAATGACCAGTGCAGCCCCTGACAATAGATCTCTAGACAAAAATGCAGGAGTAATGAAAAGCTTTGTGCCATTACCAGAGGATTTTGTTCCCCTGATGTCTGCTTTCACATCAGTTATAAGCTATGTCTATTCTGGGTATATTTACACCTCTCCCTACACCTCCTATCTCATTCACTAACCACAGAAACTATTTAGGGTCCCTTTTAGAACCTTGAAGTATACTGGAGCTTTAACAAGACTTCTTTTGGTCTCAAATCAGACCGTAAGTAAATATCCAAAACAGAGGTAGGCTTATAAAGGCTTCTGAATAAATAAGTATTGTCCATTTTGCTAAGTATACCTGCTGTTGGCAAAAGGATTCTCCCTTGCCATGCTTCCCCTTATCATGCTATCCATAGGCTTAAGATGCAGAAAAAGAACTCACAGTAGAAGAGGCTAGAATAATTCCCTTAAGAAATCCCTTGAAAGAAAGCATAGTGCATAAGCTCTTATCAAAGTTCAATTTTCTTTTACATACTTGTCTTTCATTCAGTAAATGGTTGCCTTCATAATATTGCGTAATAGCTATTCTGTCATCCATGATGTCTTTAGAATCATTATGAATGATGAAATAGTACCACTTGGCAGTTGTTAGAAGGGCAGGTTCTCATGGAATACAAAGTTAAGCTAGAGTGAAGACCTCACTCCACATTTTAGTAGTGTTCCTTTCTTGGATGCAGTCAGTGCAAAACTGAAGCCCCTTGAACACTGGAATCTTTTGGAAATGTTTTCTTACCCCACATTCTGTTCTACTACGCAAGTTCTACTACAGAAGTTCTCAACACCAACATCATTATGTAAATTCTTCCAGAGTGTTCCAAACAAAATATAAGTTATCTTCAGAAGATCCTTACATCTCCTCCTTGTACTTTATGTAGTATATCCACTTTTTTGAAAGCATTCAGTATTTTCAGGTACTTCTCAAGTATCCCAAACATAGCTGCTCCCACAATATCCTCTGTGCAGACTAATCCAGCAGATTCTCTTCCATCACCAAACATGCTCATACCTCCTCCATTTTCCTTTGCCTTTCTTGTATACAAACTTAAGTTTTGAAAAAGAAAACTGTTTCCTTTTTAGCTGCACTACCAGCTCAAGCAGCAGAAAGATTAAGACATTCATCACAATGATGCTCATTACAAATCCTCTTCAGAGCATGAATGAAACAGGCTGAATTTCTTCTACATCAGTTGGATGTGGATCAATCTACAGAGAGAAGAAAGGCAACAATTACTGCCTATAATTCTTGCATTTCTGTATGTGGGGCTTTTTTTGCCCTTTGACAATAAAAACACCACCTGCTGTTTATTTTTTTACCTCTGAATAAAGAGGTGGAGGCTGAAACCGGAACTCTTGTATGTAAGCAAAGACAGGACAACACAATTGTTCCTCACAGTCAATTGGTGGTGGATAAGCAGGAACATGTCTGGAGAACTCTTCCTCAGACACTACATCAGCATAATTTGGTGGTGCTGAAACACAAGAGATGCTATGTCAAATTTCAAACTATTCACTCACAGCCAAGACAACATATGCATTACAGTATCCAAGACCATGAAGACTGTATTAAACATTGCACTATTATCAAATTGAATGAAGTGCACTATAGTCATAAATACTGTAACTAGAATTATGTTTTTATTAAGCTTAGGTGATTCAGCAGGAACACTACAGATTCTTTTAGGGCTACTCCAGCAACATGCCTGTGTTGTATCATGGTATATTTAGTAATGATTAACTTTAAGGTGTCTACCTCCAAAGTAGAATTCCCACTATCGGAAGTCAGTTATTACAAGATTCAATTGAAAGTAATCAGATAGGGGTAAAGAGAGACTTAAAAAAGGCTGGAGCTAGGGTATCCTCACCAGTCCTTTTGGATCTTGACTTAAGATTTATGTGCGTCACTTCTCATGAGTCATACTTTAATGGCCTACATCCCTAGTAGTGCCCTTAAAACTGCCACAACTATCCTTCTGTTGTAGGCAGTACTATGCTGTATTATAAAGAGTGCAATATGTATTACCTTCAGGGTGTTCTGGCATGGTCAATGCCAGCCAACTCATATCCATACTAAACTGGCTGGTAATGCTGGAGTTTCTGCTTGAAAATCCAATACATGGAATGGTGCCAATCACCAGAGGCATTTCAATCATCAATTTCTTAGCACCAGGAATATGGATATACACCTGTGTGACAAGCCCCAAATAAAAAAAAAAGACATCATCAGACCCCACTGAATTGCTGCTCCTAGAAGCTACCCTACTCCCTATACCGCAGATTTTATGTTTAAAAGTTAGGAATTTTCTCATCCCAGGTATGTTTAGCTAATACTCTGGTAGCTTTCATTATTTTTCAGCTACTTCCTTCTTTCTGTACCTTGTCCCTAGATGGCATTAAAAAATGCACAACAGGTTGACAAAAATAATTATGCACTTGACTTTCAGTCCTATCTTCCCATTTCTGAGAAGAATGACTAGAAGAACCCATTCAGCTTCAACTACTTTCCCCTGATAACCTCTGCAGGTCTAAAACTACACTGCTTCTTCCTCAGAAATGTTTTTCCATTTTCCCCGTTATTCCCATCTTCCTATTTCAGAGTCTCCCCGTGATCTTCAGTCTCTCACCTATATGGTATATGATATTTGTTTATATTTGCTGTTGTTCCCAAATTCAAAATCTAATAGCTGCTCAGTAGAGAAAATTATTCTGTTCCTAACTCAATGTAATATTCAAGAGTATGTACATTTGTAATAAAAATCCATACTTACAGCTAATGAATATTCTACTCTAATAATACAGCAGTCAAGTATAGAAGGGGATACAGGTGGGATTTTCAGAGTTTTCCCATTCCAGGTATCTGTACTCCCAGAGGCAATATGGTTTCCTCGGACATTGGCAACCATGTGACGGAAGGTTTTTGTCTTCCCACTGGCCAGGTAAGTTTGTGTTTGGAAAATGGCAGCTTTTGGAACAATCAAACGAGAAGAGCAGTTCTCAATTTCTGCATAGATTGGTATGGCTTCCCCTTAAAGGCAGAAAAAGTTCAGTGAATAATTTGTATTTAGCAACTTTCCTCTGAGAGTATCAAAGCATGTTATGCAGCACGTACATCATCTGTAATGTTATGAGAACAATACTTGTTAGTTTCCTCAAGCTAGTTGGTTGGGGTTTTTTTGTTTGGTTGGTTTTTGTTGTTGTTGTTGTTGTTTTGGGTTTGTTTTTTTTTCTTCTTTTTCCCCAGAGTGGTATCCAGGCAGAATTATAGCCACCTACTACATTTTATGTATAAACAATGATTCATTTTGAAACATTAAGCATAATATGAACAAGCTATAAAAGCTTTATTTGCAAATTACACACCAATCTTCCTTTTGTATAGTACTAACCAAATTTCAAAACATTTTATTTCCTCAATGTATCTAATGTTATCAAGATGACAAAGAAGCTGCTAAAGCTCATTCTTACAGAAGCGTAAACCTACACAAACAGGACATAAAAACCCGATTACATCCCCAATTAAGTATTTTATCCCAAATAAAAGCATTTTGTTATTCTTTACACTCAAATGTACATGGCTTTTCCATATGATTACTGACTAACAGACTTGCTTTCAATTTGTATTCCCAAGGGGGGATAGAGGGGAAAGGCAAGCTGATTTTTGTTAAAGCAAGTTCATATAGATCTCAATTTACTACCTACTAACCGAAAGTATTCCTTCAACTATGAAGTGCTGGCTTCAAAGTGATAAAAAAACCCTATTAGATCTTTAATATTCACATTTTTAAGAGAACTACTCTTACCATTACAGTATCCCTTCCTCTCAATTTTGGCACTGAGAGACACTGGCCCAGAGGTGAAAAACCAACAGCCAACCATCTTCTCCTGACTTCTTAGAACAGGTGTCTATAAAATATAGAGTATTTTTCATTTTATGGCATAAAGCTATCAATCACTTGCAGTTTCATGGTATGCCTATCAGTCACTGCAATCTAGCTCTAAAATCCACTTGATTTCAATCACCGTACTACTCAATGCAACTGGAATTTTGCCACCATGTAAAATGGAACCAGCGTTTGGCTCTCTGAACATATGGCTGTTTTAAAATCCCAGCCTGCATTTAGACCATATCTACTAGGTAACACAGAGACCCATGTGCATTTGAACATATTCCGTCTTCAAAAAGATTGATTTAGAGAATTTTATAGTGACTTTTTAAAGGTCTAGTAAGAGTATTGTGGTAATTATGCCCATGTTACTCAGTGCAGAAGAATGCAGAATTAATTTCATTTGCAAGCGACTAGTAGTTAAGCAAGTAAACTGTTTTTACCTTTGTATCCTTTGTAAGAAAGGATCAACATACACACTGGGCTAAGGTGATGCATCTTCATAACTTGCAAGCCACACAACCCCCCAAAAATGTAGGCTTATGACAAAAACCATCTTAATTATTCATGGAGGACTGTCACATTAGATGACATGTACGCTGTCCGTAAAATTTCCATTAGAATAAACTTACAAGTAGACATGTCAAGGGTCCAAGCCAGGATTCAAGCTACTTAAAATGATTTACTGGGCACTAGTGCTCAGTCAATATAATTATGAAGTCTAAAATTTGTGGTGTTTTACACTTTTTTGCATGGTAGCCTTGGAATCCATTAAGACAGGCACTGCCTACTTTGTGCCCCACAGCCCTCTCCTGTGCAATAACCTGTGGCCTACTCTATCCTTGCTGTATCTGGATATGCTGTCTTCATACTCCTGACATACACTGTTGAATATAAAGACTATATTCTGCTTACAGATCTCACTGCCAAAATACTTCTCCAAGTTCTCTCTAGAGAGAAAGATTAAAATGTAAGCATATAAAGAGGAAAAAAACCCTGCTCAAAACATCTCTTAGCTCCATTCACATCATGATGAAATGTTAAAATTATCCTAGCATTTTAAATAAAATAGAAATTACTCATTCATATTTAAATGAATAACCATTTAGATCCAGTTGCTATCATGAAAGTGCAAGGTATAATTTGATATTATTTTCGTAATATGGGTTGAGATAAAAGAATCCAGCTCATTAGCTTCCATCTTGCCTATTTTCTCATTACTTAATGCCTGATCTTTCTTATTACTCTACAGTATTTCTAGTGATTATTAGAAACTCAATGCTTTAATGTGGCCAAATCTGTCATAAGGAAATAACTGAAAAGATCTCTGAAGCAGCTGCATGCACGCACTTAATGTTAGAAAACGACATGCAAAATGGAAGGATACGTAACATAATGGCCAGAGCATAAATGACAGGCTGGGCATGATTAATACTCTTCTATAATTACTGTTCCTCAACCTACTATTATTGTAGAGTTTAGGACACTGCAGCCCTGTGAATGTAGTTGCTCTGGTAAGAGTAACTACTTTATGCTTCTACATTATTATTATTAAGCCTTATTTATGCATCTGAAGCCTGCATAACTTTTTGGCAAGAGCATCTCTGCCAGCAGGGATGTAATCAATGGTATTAAAAAAAGCCACTCTGTTTGCTATTCACACAACCTAAGATCATCTATTTATAGAGAAAAGCTTAGGGAGCTTATATGCTTTCAAGAAGTCAGAAAATGACACTCCAGAATAACATAGAAATGGTGATGGATGGATGTGAATGCTTCTTGGAAATGATTTTTTTGCAGCTGGCTTTAAAGGGGGGAGGAGGAGTGCAGGATCCTCTTACCAATAAAGCTGGTGAGCTGACGTCGATATGGCTAATGACCTGAAGCTCTGTCTGTACACTTTGATCAGGTGCTGCAGGCCTCTCCAGAGTTGCTTTCACATAGTACTGAATACTGCCATACTTCCCAGTAAAAGAGGTCACCAGAGGCCTGAAACAAGCAGTCATAAAAGCATTACCAGACATTTGTAATTCAGCTCCAAACATGAACGCTTCCGGTATACATCAAAGTTTACCAATTTACAGCTTGTACTTCTAGGGCCTTAGGGAAACTGAAGCAAACAAGGCACGTCTATGTGGCGGTTGATTAAGACAAACATATAAAGCTGACCTATCAGTTTGATATTAAAAAAACCACACAAGTCAAATTACATTAAGTTAATGCCCCACAACAAGCAGTGTCCAGCACAATCCCTTCAGGTTGGATTATTTAACTTACTCTTGAGGGAGTTGAAAGCTGAACGGAAATTCATGTCTTCCATCTAGAAGAATTAAGCTTTCCTCACCTGTAGGATAAAAATGAATAGTATGTTTTAGTTATTCCATAAATAGAAGAACAAAGCAGATGCTTTTATAAATTATTTATATATAACAACACCCAAATGCGAGGTACTAGAAGAAGTTTTTATTGATCCCAGTGTGTTCTAGATTGGAGCCCATGCTTTATTTACGCCGTGATGTGATTTCAATGAAAAAAAATCAAGGAAACATCAAGACCTTGAGTTTCAGTTCAGGACTCTGGCCAATTTCTAATCCAAAATGGCTTCTGGAAAGCATAAAGCAAGTTTCTTTTCTTTTTCAGCAGGACAGCAATTAATCTACTTTTTCAATTAACAATTAAACTAACTTTTGTGCTAAAATGCTGCAATTTAAGGTCAGTATTATGAAATACTATTAATATATGTACTCTTACTGCATTCATAGAGGGCCTACCGTTACACAGTTTTTAAAAGCCTGAATTTCCTTTTCCTACAGATAAACCGGAGATGCGTTTCACCCTTACAGAACAAAATGTCATTTCCCTTTCATTTTTCAATACTGCCATAGTGCTGCGGTGTCCGAGTGACAAAACTGCCAGCTAGACCTACGTAACAAAGAGCTTCCCCTTTTTTCGTAAGCCACTGCAAAAGGAGGCCGACTGCTTCGGCTGTCTTCCACGGGCAGCTTCCCAGATGCTGCTTACAAAGCACAACGAACACGCAGGTGCCCGCTGCAATTCACGGAAGAGCTAACCTCTGCAGGAAACCAGCGCGCAGCATAGGAAACCAAGAGCTGCAGACCTTCTTCCAGCCCTGTTCCGCGTTTTTCAGCCGTTTATACAGAGAACCGAGTGACCACTTGACGAAGCTGTAGCAAGCCTCCCCAGGCATGCCCGTGGAGGCTGTGGCTACGCCGGCGAGAGGTTTCCAGTGCGGGAAGGATGTCCCCGTTGGCCGGGCACCCACCCGGGCCTCACGCCGTTTCTCAGCACCCAGGTCGGATACCGGTTTCTCCCGGGGGAGGGTTTCAACCCTCAGCCTTCCTCCCCTCTGGGAAAAGCAGGGGTGGGCGCCATCCTGCCGGGGAGCGGGGCGGGGGCTTGGTCCCGCAGCCTTACCGCGCCGCCTT